GACACATGAAGGCCATCTACTAAATATAGGAAGGCTGACCAACATATTTTATGGCTGAACATCAAAGTGCATTTTCTAAACGAAAGAAGAAGAGAAAAAAAAAAAAACCAAAACAGGATGACGACTTTATCAGTGCCACCATATGAAAGCTCTTTAGAGGCTACAATATTATATTTACCATGTAGAAGTCAAAGAAAACTCATGCAGCTTCATCTCTTGACACAACAAGTTATAAAATATAGACTGCTGCTCGTAACCAAACTTGATCTGATAGTTACAAAGTTGATTTTGAGCCTTTGTAAAATACTCTTTCCATTCAGGGCCCCAAGTAATGAGAAGCAAGCCCTTACTCAGGTCATCCTATTCTCCAGCACCTGTGCTGATGAATCATCTGCGTGAAGTGGTTGTACTCTGTAGGCCTTTATGTCGAGCCCTGAAAAAACAAGTAATTATGCTGCCCTTATGTTTGTTGCATAATACAGTATCTACCTGTTTATTAATGCCAGCAGACATTGGTAAAGAAGAATGTTGAGTTTGAAAAAGAAAAGAAACAAAGTGTCCATGATTTGTTACTTTGTGCCTTTCAAGAATTTGATGGACTTTTAGTTTTTGGACTTAAATGTTTACTAGTGGTATCAGCCCCCTCCCGCTGTTCCTCAAACTGTTAAAACCCCTAAAAAAAACAAATTTAACAAACCAAACAAACAGTTGTGATCATCTGCATCGACTTTTCCATAGAGTTCATTTTAGCTGCTAAACTCTTCCAGTAAAACACAGCAGGCACCATATCACGCACGTCACAGATCATAGCAAGAAGAAGTAAAACCATAAAATCCATATTATACAGTGCGGCGCTTACATAAAGAAGCAATCATTTCAACCCTGTAAAAACTGTTAATACGTTACAAAGACGTGATCAAAATGCACACACAGCTCAGCTTCCTTTTGCCTTCTGGGAAATCTGCTTGGCACGATTGTCATTAAAACAATGAGAGTTTCAGCAATTTAAGTGATTTGCAGCGAAGAAATGTTGCTTTGAAAGGTAGTAAATTTAACCGAATTCAGTGTCAAATGATCATGCTCCTACAGAAGGCAAGGCCAATGAAAGCAACCCAAGCTACAGGTAACGCATTCAAACCTGAAGGCTACTAATAATAACAATGTTTTTTCTAAAATTTTATATAAGAGTTAAAAACAGGTGAAAACTGGTGGGAGGTGCAGGTGATCAGCTACTGTTTAGCTTATACAGTATTAGCTACTCTTGTTAACCCCTTTATTGGCAACTGTAGCCACACTTTTAATGAAATGCTACATGAACACTGATGAATTGCACCAGAAGGGAAGCGAGAAACCGAATGGCTTATTAAAACACTGGAATGGCTATGACAGGTTGGCACAGTGATTAGCACTGTCGCCTCAAAGCTCGAACCTGATGTTCAACTCTGGTCTTTTCTGTGTGGAGTTCACATGTTTTTCCTTCTGCGCCTGTGTGGTTTTTCTTCAGGTGCTCTGGTTTCCTGCCACACTCCGAAGATATGCAGGTGCTATGAGAGTATAAATTAAATGTCTCCATTTTAAACTGAAAGGTTTCTACTTTTTTCCTAAACTGACTTACAGTTTTGGTAAAGAAACAAAGAAACAAACAAACAAACAAACAAAAAAAAAGCACACTCTTTCAATTTCAGGCTTTACGTGTTGGGACATAATAAAAGAAAATCAGTTGGTCTTTAGAAGGTCTTAAATTGGGTAAATACCACCTCAGATGATTAACAAAACATGATGTGTCACACTGCTTCAATATTTATTTAACAAAAACTGAGATAAAATGCGGAAACCGTGGGTGAAAAACTTCAGTGCAGACTTACTGCTTCCATAGGAAATAAGAGGGGACAATAGCAGCCAGATGCTGCTAATCAAATGCACTTGTTTAACTGATCATGTGCTAGTGTGACCAGCTCTATAAAAGCAGGCGTCGGTTTGCTGGTCTGGAGCACTCAGGTGGCTTTTAATGAGGGAAGACCTCGGCAATGATCTTAAAGAGCGACCGCTGCTGCCCATCAATCGTGGAAGGCCTTCTCCAAACTATTTTACAGTGAAAGATTTTTCACATCCATCCAATCATTCTCTTCTACTCTCTCCTATCCTTACTGGGGTTGTGGGGGGCTGGAGAATATCCCAGCTATCATAGAGTGAGAGGCGGGGTACACACTGGACAGGTCGTCAGTCTGTCGTAGGGCTAACGCAGAGAGACAGACAACCACTACTCACATTAACACCTATGGGCAATATAGACTCACCAGTTAACCTAACTCCTCTAACTGCAGGTCTTTGGACTGTGGGAGGAAGCTGGAGTACTCTGAGAGAACCCACGCAGACACAGGAAGAACATGCAAACTCCCTGGAGAAAGGGAGATGGTTAAGGCTAGATGGTGGAGTCTAACTCGGCACCTTCTTGCTGTTAGGCAACCGCTGTGAGGGAACAGTGTTAACTGCAAAAACCCAATAACTACATCTCAAGACTCTCCAGGCCTCAGTTAGGATATTAAATGTTAAAGATGACAGTACAATTAGAAAAAAAGAGAAAAACAAACAAGTATGGCTTGTTTGGAAGTGTTACCAGGACAACGTCTCTTCTCTCTATAAAGGACTCCTTTGGTTTGCAAAGCTGAATCTGAACAACTTGCAAGGCTTCTGGAACAACATCCTTTGGATAGATGCGACCAAAGTGGAGACGTTAGGCTATAAAGCCTAATGCCACTTATGCTGTGTTTGGCTTTCAACAAATCAATACAGACCCCTCAGACCAGCTATCAAGCACGGTGATAGAGGGGTGATGATTGGTGCTTGATTTCAAGCCACAGGACAACTTGCAATCTTTGAGTTGACCATGAAGTCATCTGTAAGCCAAAGTATTCTAGAGTTAAATGTGAGAACACCTGTCCATAGCTGACCAGGACAATTATCCAAAACACACCAGCAAATCTACAACAGAATGGCTGAAAAGAGGGGGGGAAAAAAAGGGTGGGGTGGGACGGCAAATCAAGGTGTTGCAATGACACAGTCAAAAGCCAGACATCAACCCAACTGAAATACCGTGATGAGACATTAAGAGAGCTGTGCATAGATAATTGCACAAAAACCTAAATGAATTAAAGCAACACTGAAAAATAAGCATGCCAATATTCCTCCACTGGACCCAGAGGACCAAATATTTTCTTTTATTATGTCCTGGTCTGAAAAACCTCCGAACTGACAGTTGGAGTACCGTGATTATAACCAGGTAAGATTGTTTTTGTAAAAAGGTAATTTCATTTTTCTGAAGACTGCAACTTCAGGTTTCCAGAGAAGACAAATTTCTTCTCTGGAAACCTTAAAACTAGCCTAAGGACAAAAAAACAAAACAAAAAACCCAATGCATTGTATATAATGATCATAAAATGGATATTTTCCAGATGATTCCCTGATTAAATTAAAGCGACGATATGCTGACATTCTGCAGCTCTCATTACACAATGCTTCCATACAATTAATCATGGCCAATCAATAACCTTATCATTACGGTAATGCACAAACTTGCATAGATAAAGTGATATAGTATAGAGCAGCTTGATATTCATGTGCCCAAAGAGTTAACATGCTTTTTAAATTTATTCTATAGGCTTTTCTGACATTCCTGCAAGGAATAGCTGCTTTTTGTTGGAGGTCTAACTACCAACAAAACAAAACAGACACTCGGACCACTAACATATGCAAGTTTGCAGTTTGAGCCAGCGGGTATTTGTTAAGACTCAAAAAGTGGGAGATCTGAGTTGATCTTGAGATCATTCACAACCATAGCTGGATTGATCGCTCTCCTGCTTAAAGAGGCTCAGAAAATACAGGGCCTAGATCACAAAGAACACCATTTGAGAACAATTGTTTATATTATATGTAGAGAGAGATATCCTCGGTTTTTTTGTTTTTCTTTTTTTAACAGTATGGCTATTAACAGAGTGGCATATGAATGACATCATAGAATCGTCTGGATATAAAGGGCTTCACTGACTAGTCCTTAAAACATGCTTTCCCTGGGATCATTTGGATCTGACTTGTTCTTTTAGTGCATGGGGGGCTTGCCTGATTTTCACTACTTTTAATTTAAGGCCATTCATTTCTATTTGGCTAGACTGCCGCCTAGGGACTGAGAAATACAGGAGTGACATCTCTTTTAGTGAATTAAATTAAAACAACTCCACAGCATGTGGATACGAGGTCCTTTGATAGAGTTTAATTTAATGCTAAAGGGGAGTGCCACTCAATTTGTGACATTTGTGAATTTAATGTAGAATGTAAAGAGAGTAAAAGAAAGTAAGGTGATAGTTAACCAAAACAAGACGCGATTATCATTTTATCACAGGAAAAACTTTTTTTTTTTTCCTTTTAATGTATTTGAGAGGCAGTCCCCTTTAATATGTTTGCCTAACAGTTGGAAAAACACTGTAAAGTACAACACATAGACACTACTTTGAGCACAGTTCTATTAAAAGCGCAGGATTATAAAACATTGACATCATCAAGAGGACGTGCTATACACTGAGCTGAGAGTGACGCTAGCCTCCCATCTCTACCTCAGTCGCAGACATGACAAAGAAATCATGTTCTGTGCGCAAATCGAGTGAACACCAAACATCCGTGGTGTAACTCTATTATGCTACTGACTGAATCTGTAGAGCTACATCGATTGTGGTGGTGAGGGAAAAGCTTTTGTTGCGCATAACAAACCGACGAAACAGAGCGATGAAGTAAGAGTTCTTTCTAAGGTGGCTCCTGCATGACATGGTCCATACAAGAATAATAATAAAGAAAAAAAAATCGTTTCTTAATGTTGATTTTTTTCCCCCTCCTTCACTTGCAATTACCCACCAAAGTGCAACAACAAATTAACCCACACCTCAGGAGAGGAGAGGGGGGAGGTTGGGGGGGGGGGGGGGGGGGGGGGGCGGGGGGGGGGAGATGGGGGGGGGCAAGCGAAGTGGTGCAGTCCATCCTCCATGTCCCCAGTCTGGCAACTTCTCATACATTTGGACACAGTAGTCCCTCCATGAGTCTCATGTCCACTAACCTCTGACCCCTGCACCTCTCTCCCTTGAGATAAACATGTAGGGTCGCTTTTCTGCCATGCCTCCCTCATGCAGAGCAATGGATCCCCAAGCGGCTTGGGCTGGTGCAGGTTGAGCCCAAAAAAGAAGAAAGCTTTCAAAGCTGGTGGGATGGGAAAAAAATGTAAAAGGGGTGAAAAAGGACAAAAATAGATGGGCCCATCCTTGAAGCGGCTCCCTGTGCCAACTCAGATGGTGTTTTTTAGGTTGGCAATGGGTCATCATCGCCTTTGCTGCACTTGCACTTGCAGCAGAGTACGATGGGAGTGGCCAGGAGGAGGAAGGGAGAGGCAACCAGCAGGAGAAGGCCAAAGCCAGCAAAGATTCCCACAACCTGCAGGGACACAGCAGCGAGACATTAAATAAAACAACAACAACAAAAAAAACCATTATTTAAATAAATGCAGCACTCTTTTAAACATACAAGCAGCCATGCATTTAATCTATTAATCCTGCAATTCAAGTAGCGTTAACAGCTTTCAAGGTCATTTCTGAAAGTTTTATTGCTGATTTTCTCTTCAGTATGTGTCATATAAGTTACCGATATTTTTTTGAGCAACTCTGCATATACTGTTTCCCAAGTGTCCCAAACTATGAGCACGATTTCTGCAGTAACACATGTTCACCAGTGGATGTCACCAAGTGCTTTAAAATGATCTTTTTCTTTTTTTTCAACATGTTAAGAATGATCGGTTTTATTCCAGTTTTACAATCTATATTTTCATAATTGGGCAAGCCCTTCACTTCACTTGTTTTTTTTTTTTACTCAGAGGGAAAAAAAGGATATCAAACAGTGGAGATGCCATTTTATATCATTAAAATAAGTTCTATACTGCAGTACATAAAGACAGAAAGCCTTTAGTAAAATGTTCTTACTCCCACAAAAAAATAAAAATCTAAGGACATCATGATTTTGTCACATAGTGAGACTGTACATAGCAAAGTCACACATTCAGTTACATAATTATGTACTTCTCCAATCAAGTGGCACAAAGGATGCTTATTTTCCAGCAGAACCATTTTGTGTGGAAGTTATGCAAGTGTTCTACTAAGGAGATGTTTTTTAGGAGTTACCAACACAGTTATAGATTTAAGAACTGTAGAGTTACATGTTGGTAAAATCCAGCTTTGTTTTGTTGGTAGCCAGGCAACTTAAGTAATCCACCACATGGGGGAGCCAAACTCCAGGAAATTCACACAGCATGATAGAATACATAATCGGCTGTCACATGCAACAGTGACTTATAATAGCACAATGGGTTTTTTCTTCCACCAGTTTATTTGGGAAAATATATTTTGCAAGATTGCTTGCATGCAGGGTTCTTTTAAAATAAATAACAACAACAAAAAAAACAAACCCTGCATTATCTGAGCGTTGGCTAATGCATTAACTGTTATTTTTTCAGCGAAAAGGCTTTGTGTAGTGAAAAACAAACAAAAAGTATCAAGTACAGGGTCTTCTTATTAACAGATCGTTGTGGCACTTTGAAGCATAGCATGTGACATTGCTTCAGAACGATGGTACGTGGCTACAACAGAAGATGCTTTGCTCTGATACACCTTGGCTTTATAAAGCAAGCGAAAGGGAGGCTTGCATATATGTGAAAGCCCAAACGGGTGTGAAATGAGGAGAGCGAGACAGAGAAAAGAGACACATACAACACTGAAGCTATAGCTGGCCTCCACCAGCTGAACTGTAATCATATGACTCAGCCTGCCCTACTAGGCAACAGATGCCAATGTGTATGCTAATACTGGGAAAATAGCAAATATGCTGGACAAAGGGATGTGCTAAGCTATGAATAGATTTTTTTGCTAATAAGTGATACTGAGAGGGCATTTGGGAGCTCAGTCTATGAATTAAGCACTTCAATATGTTGTATCATGAGGAAATCTAATCCTTTATATGCAATGTGTAGCTTTATTGGATTATCGCCAGGTAAAGAGAGACCTTGGTTATGTAAACCTTTTTTTTTTTTTTTTTAAAGCCTTAAACAGCAGGACACTGACCACTAGACACTTGTCGCTGCATGTGGATTGAGTTGTTCTTTTGCTTTTGTGCTGTTACCATAATACGAGCCCATCACTGTATGTGAATGTGTGCACCGAAGGAGAGACAGAAGCAGAGCCAGGGAGCACGTGTGAGGCCACATGCTGCAGCGTGGCTAAGAGAGGGGGAGGCAGAGGGGGAGGGGTGGGTTGCCGAGTGTGACTTGCGGATGGGGAGGTGGGTGTTCTCACCTGTGTTCTGTGCCAGATAACGGACGCCCTGGAGTGCCCCAGTTTGTTTCGACAGGGCCCTTTGTCATAGTGGATCAGGAGAAAGTCATCCTAGCACATGACACACATACAGATAAAGACTTGACCATCAGCTATCTGAATGATACGGGTGGGCGTTCAGAGAAAATTGCTTTTTAAGTGACCTGCGGAGCACGGTCGCCTGTATGCTCACACAATTAGGATTATATAAGGGCACCACAGCTCATTAATCACCAAAGTTATACGAGTTCAGCTGAGGCTGTCGCTTTGAACAGTCAAAATAATGAAAATTGCAAATACTCTTAATGTAAAGCTACAATTTTCTGATAATTAGAGATATTGTTGTTCCATGGAGTCAAATAATTAGCAGTGTGAAAATACGTTACAGGATGAGGAATAAAGATGCCACTCACATCTAGGGACTCCAGACAGTACCAGCAGAAGGCATGCTTGCAGTTCTTGCACATCATCTGTGCACAGCCCTCGTCCCTCTCAATGTAAACTTTACATTTAGGACAGCGCTTGATTGGTGCATCATCCTCTTCGTTTTTATAAAAAGAGCTGAGGAGAAGAGACGCAAGTTAAGTGTTCAATTCAATATTCATATTATATGGCATAACAGGATTTTATGTAGTTCTAAATCAGATTCATCTAAATAAATACATATGTAGGTGTCACCAGTCACTAAAATGACCTTGAACTCAACCCCAGACTAACATTCTCCTGTCCTCTCGGTGTCAGGTTATCTGTATCCATTTCTCCCATTATTTCTAAACAGCTGACTCCGACAACCTGTGCATGAACAGCGCTCTGTCATTTTGCGAATTATCCGAAGACAGCAAACAGGCCCATTGATTTTTCAGGCCGGTCTCCATGAATCTGTCATACTGTTCGTTTGAGTGAAACAATACAGTCTCAACACCTCCACCACTTTAGCTAGAAAACACTGAACTGTATTTAGAACATGACTTGTTTTTGTCTCTCCCAAGTTTAGCAAATTCTACTGTTTTAAAAAAAAATTCTTCTGCATCATGAAAGAAAAACACTTGTACGACTTGTAGAAACCATAATCTTGTGACAGGCAGAGAGATTAATGTTTAACATAAGCGTAGCCAAAATGAACAAAAAAAAACAAAACAAAAAAAACAAACACAGGGAAAATGATGCTTTTAGAGATATCTTTATGGTGAACAAGTGTAATTCAAACACCAAGGCTCTTTACAACTATGAACCCTCTTCTCCAGTGTGGCCTCTGAGCTCTTGCGCAGACAGCAGAAGGTTCTGCAGAGCTAATGGCATTTCCAGGGTAAGAGGATAAGACAAAGAAATGGGTCAGCTGCATGCATCTCTGAGCAAGTCTGTTCTACCTTAGGAGACAGATGCTGCACCCTTAAAATTAATGATTAATCTATTTCAGCCAGCCTTACTGCAGTTTAGTTGAAGCAGATTGTTTTATCTCTACCTACAAAATATGTGCTTGAGTGTTGGCTGATGCTCAAGCAAAAAGTGGCAGCAAAAAGACACACTGACTGAATCCTGCCAGGTTTTTCTCACCTTCACTCAGATGGGCTAAGACAGCAACATAGCATTGACAAAACTAGTATTTCTAGCAGGCCTTATACCTGCTGCACTATCACATGCCAAAATGTATTATTACTTTACTGAAGTGCTCATGTTTAAATGATTGCCTGTTAAAATTTGAGCAAAAATTAAAAATTAATTATAATTAATGACTTAATAATTATGGATTTCATTAAGGAGGCTGCTTAAGGACAAGGACAGGTTTCAGAATTCATTTCATGTCTCATAGCCTGTAAGTATTTTTTGGATTATGGTCCATGAAATGTTAAAAGTGTGAAAGCTAGTGAGTGGATACAAGTAGAAAGCAGCACCTGTTTTCTCCTGGTAGGAAGGACGTAATGGGCAGGTTGTTCTCCTGGCAGGCCTGCCCGGGGTGCCAGTTGGCCTTGCAGGCCGAGCAGAACTCGAGGGCACATACAGCACATTGGACCAGCTGGGGCAGGGCTGGAGAATCCGCTTCCTTTAGCTGGCACACCGCCTGGCAGGTCGACGAAGGGCACCATGTTCGGCACGGGTCCAGCAATACCTCTGACGACACAAAAAAGGTCCAGGTCATGAACACCGGCTCTCTTATTAGCTCATTTGAGCCAAAATATTTAATGAGTTTCAGATGCAGATTTCTGAAGATGTAGCGCAGTAGACTAGAACCTTCTCTGGCTGTTTGGTGATTTTTTAATGCCCCGGGATTTCCTGTTACGTGTGAAATAATGATACATGTATTCAAGAATAATGTTTCTCTCTGCAAACTTCTTATAATTTGATATCATGCTCTCTGCGCTTTATCTTTATGCAACAAAAAAAACCAACCAACCAAACAAAAAAACATCAGTACTGGAAGAGAAACAAAACCATTTTCACTCATTTTCATTTTCAATTCTTATACAAATAGCAGATGAGTCATGTTAGACATATGAATTTCCCTCTGGGATCAATAAAGTTCTTATTCTTATATACTGAAATGTTTCTTTTGTTTAAAAAAAAAAGTTATTTCTTGTGTTACTGCATCTATTATTTGGTAACTTGTTTCCATGGCTTCCAAAAATTCTTTCGAATATTTTTAAAAGTGGTAAAAACAGATTCTGCCAATTCTAAGTACATAGCATGATGCACTTGCCCTTGTATCCCGTCCTTACATCCCCTTGCCTCTCTGCCAAGAACTATGAGCACACATTCCACTTGCACTTTTGGCTCAGCCTGAGAAATATGGAACGGTTACAGAAACTGTTCTGCCTGACTAGACTGGGACATTGATGAGACGGCTCACTGCTTTTATCCAGAATCAACAGCTCTTTCTGAGGATTTTTATTAATTTACAGGGTCCCTTCTGTGTTAATGAATGTGTGTTTGTCTTTATGGATATGCATTTATTCCTGCAAGCGTGATCTGCATGTTCTGTGTATAGTTTGTGCCTCTGTGTAGGCGGAGAACCTGCAGAGTGAGTACCATCAAAGAGTGATAGCACAGCATGGTCACTGCTGTCTCTTGTAGGGATGGAACTAAAATATTGCTGATTAGCATGTCTACACTGACAGTGTGAAGCAAAGCGACACAGACCTGCCATCATGTTTTCAGCTCTGAGATCCAAGCTATTTATTAGAAAATGAACTGCTGACACTAAAAGTACACGGGGGAAAGAGACAATGGGAATTTAACAAAAATACAAGGGATCAAATGGTGATGATCCCTAAGGCTAAAGAGGCCAATTAACTGTAGTTCCTGCAGTGGCCAGTTGAAGCTGGCTGCAAAAGTGGGTCAATCCCTTAATGCACATTACCTGTTAGTTTCATCCAGCCATGCAGTTTGTATCGATGCCCCCTGCTAACCAAGCTAGCTAGCCTTAGCTAATAGCTTAGTACACTGCCCTCTTTTGTACACTACTGTACACTACTAAGTCACCCTTCAATTCTTTAGACTTCGCTTCTAAGCAGCCAGACTTTCATGTAATCTTTAAAGAGGTCTTTAACAATAGCTCCCCAGGTTTTCTGAAGGTCTGAGCAGTGAATGTCTACAGCTGTGAAACACAATCGAGGTTCTTCATTTGATTTGGGGCTGCATTTAAGCCAGTGGTGTTCGGGAGCTTGTCAAAATTGCTTTTTGCTTACTGTATTTCCATGTATTTTTGCACATTTCAATAAACTAATGTATCCATTTCCCATTATGGAGTAAAATATTGAGATATAGGTGTTGGCTCAAGACTTGACTATAGAACCAAACCAATATAATTATAATATATCAAAACAAAGTACAGGAATATTACTTAACTGAATGACTATTTGTAGTGAAATTCAATTTAATTGAATCAAGAATGAAATCCAATTGTTCTTCATTTTGTACATAACAAAATGTATGCAAAGAAAACTTGAAAACACCTGTCAGTGTTGAAGAGTGAAATTTATGGGGCTAAGAAGGATTTGCCAAATCTATTCTAGCAGTTTTCCACAGACACCCCCTGGTGTAACTCAATAGCGAAAATGTCCACAGGGGTAAAATGATTAAGTCTAGATAGAGCAAGCAACAGTTTAGCTCCACATGCAAAATGAGACTGTCATCCTTTTGTGTGTAGTATCTCTGCAGGACAGACGGGTCCATGTGACTCCGTTTGATAGTCATCGCCCATACTGCGCCTACTGGTGAACTCTGAAGTGATCACTGACGTACTGAAGCTACCTTGTACTGACTCACCCCTTTCAAACTGAAGTTTCTTGTATCTCTGCATCATCTCTGTGGCCACCATGCACTCAATCTGCAGGAAGTGAGGAGAAGAGAAGTGGGAGTGAAATGAGCAGGTCAGTGTGGACATTTGTAGACAGAAACTGCAAGAAGCAATTATAAATTCTCCATGCGAGTTTCATTTCCAGAACAATGTCATAATCAAAATTCCACAAAACCTGAACTTGCCATTTGTTTGGGCCTTAAATCTCATCCCCACAGTAAAATAGAAATTGATTGCCAAGTGCAGCCAAGGTGCGTACGCAGGCCCACACATGGTTACTCATTTAATGGGCATTGAAAAACATTCAGGCTTTGAGAATTACAAGAATGGAAAGGGATGATGCATGCTGTGCCTGACTGGCTAAAGTGGCTTTGGTTCTATTAAGGGCCAGGGACGCTAATTAGAAACTGAATGCTGCTGTGTGCTAAACTATGCTGCGTCCTATGGTAAACTGCCTGAAGAAGGAGCAGTTTGACCTCAATGTGACACCTGCTACGGAAAAAGGCATGCAGGATTGCTCATTGTAATTGAATACACACATGAAAGTGAAGTGAAATGCACGTCTCAGTTAAGGATGGTGCTTTAAATTGACAATGATGTTTTAGAAATATAGGTTTAACCGATATACTCAATAGTTGCACAAAGTGCATTAACTCTGCTACATCTGCACATACAGTGCTGCGCCTGTGTAGAAATTTAAAAAATGAATACTGCTAAATGGAAAACGAGTGACTGAGTGGTCCCATGTCCAATGCAGAACTAAGACGTTCTAATAATGGAAATGCACCTCATTTTCTTGCAAGTGTCCTCTTTTAGGACAGGCAGAGTCCGGACAGCTAATTGCAGTTTCAAGGCCATCTTTAATCAGGAGTTCCACATACTGCTTCAGGCACTGAGGAAAAAACAGACAAGTATAACATAAATCCAGTAAAATCTCAAGTTAATCAGCAAGATGAAACAAAAATGAAAGCATAACCAGTGGCAACAGATAAGGCAAACAAACAGTGGCCAGTCTTGGGATCACTATGCATGTTAGATGTACACCAAATGGTGGCACTTTTTTCTGAAAGGCTGACAGCTGCACTAATCAATTGTTTTACACTACCAAGTGATCTGTCTGTGAAAAGCATGTCTGTGATGCTTTTCAGCTTCTTTTGACTCAACATTTTGGTTTTTTAATGATTAATCAAATGGATAGTGCTGTAAAAAACACAAACAAACAAAAAAAACCCAACCCAAAAACAAATGTTATTCACCTAAAACCTGTAACATGCCCATCCTTCACTCCCTGGTCAAGATATATGCAGACTATGCAAAAGCCAAAACAAAGCTAAAGACAAGTAATTATCAGACTGAATGATAGCCACAACTATTTTTCTAATGGTACAACAGTAATAGAGATGCCCTGCTTTAGCATGTTATAACATTTCTTGGCGCAAACACATGAATTATGCTTTTCATGTGAAACTTCTATGAGTCATTTAAGGGAAGCCAGTAAGTTTTACAAAGCTGAGTGTTACCAAAGACACACACAGACATAAACCTTCTATGTGCCACGACTGGCTATTTTCTAGTTGTTTTTTTTAAACTGTTCATTTTATGTCAGCCAAAAAAAAAAAAAAAAAAAAAAAAAAAAGAAAAAGAAAAAAAAGGAAATGGTGAGTTAATAGTTACAGACTGCAGTACGCTTGCACTCTGGAATAAAGTGTGCTAAAGAAAGTTTGGCAATTACGGCTGCACCCCAGACTGAGTTCTAGGAAATGGCAGCTATTTTTAGTTGTCATTCATGAGCATTGTTTCCTCATCCCTGGAAAAGATTGGTTTACATCTGCTAACCAATTGAGGGGGGGGTTATCGTTTCTCAGCCTCAGCTGTTACACTGGAGGGATGTGAGACTGATACTGCAGCCATTTCGGTGTATGACTTTTACTGGGTCTAAATTTAACACAGAAGTTACATTTACTGTACTTCAACGCAGAGGCAGATCTTACTATTATTAGATAATTGTAGCCCGTTTAATAATAGTAAGATTTATGTTGTTTGAATTGGAGTTTTAGGGAAAAAAAGAAATTAAAATGTATTTATATAGCGCTAGTTCACAACAGTAGAACCCCATTGATTGCAACATCCCTTATGAACAAAAGCTTTGCGGGGGCAGGAAGGAAGAACGCTCCTTTTAAAGTTAGAAACTTTTGGCAGAATGTGATTTAGAGAGGGACAGCTGGTACCCAGAGCATAGAGAAGCAACAAACAGGACAAAAACACAAACTACGAGAGAGTGTAGTCAAAAGTTAATGACATGTATTAGTGGTATATAAATACACAACTGAAGTTCAGCTGAGTGGAGGAGAAGTGCTAAGTGCAATATGGAAAGAGCCCTAGCAGGACAACTAAAGCTGGGCAAACACTGTGCGATTTTTCCAGTCGCGTTATTCAGCTTCAGCTCAAACTGTACGACTGACTCGCAGGGGTTAGAGGTTTGTAGGTCACGATGCAGGGTCTCACACTATACGGCCCGATGCTCTGATGCGACCTGAGTGCTCACATTGTGCGTCCATAGCATGAAGATGATAACACAAAATCTGTCTCTGGCTCTCCCTCTGTCTCCCTCTTACACAGACACACACAACACCACCATCAACTTTGCTAAATTGCTAATGAAAAACATTGATCAGGCAGCTTTGATTGAGCAGCAATGTCCATCCAACTCTTTTCACGGTTGTTGTAGTCGTGATAATTTTGTGAGGTGACATCGAAAAGGCTCAGATGAGCATGCCAAAGTTCTACAAGTTGTGCCTCCATCGCTTGTGTCCAGATGACATGCTGCACTGCCGTGCTGCTCCGTCTTTTCACTTTCATTTCTGTGTTTGCGTGTGCGCAGTGTGAGAGGCTGCGGTGACACCCTCATGACGGCCGACAGGTTTTCAAACAGGTTTGATCTTCTTACGACCAAACGATTGATGATCGCGAGCTGGTCGTGAGGTGTTAATCGCTTCTCGTTACCCCATATATACTACACGATGCACGACACATGATTAAGGCGAAACTCGGGCCGATCCCCAAAACGGTCGCACGACTGAAAAATCGGCTCAAAATGGGCCAAAATTGCACAGTGTATGCCCAGCATAAGTGATAGCTCTGAGTCAACAGATCCAGTCATAAGTGTAAGGTTTATCAAAAAGGAACATTTTAAACCTAGCCTTAAAAACAGAGAGGATGCTTGCAAATAGCTGATGTTCTGCTTCTCATTGTACTTTTGGGAACTCAAGAAACTGCAAGTAAGCCTGCAGTAAATGCTCTATTGGGATCATAAGGTACTACAAGTTGTTAAAGATTATAGAATCTTATCGCTCAGGACTTTATATAGAAGAAAGAAGGGTTTAAATTCAATTTTGGATTAAGCTGGGTGTCAGTGAATAATATCTTCTGTGGTATTAACTTCATCTCCTTTTCTGGTTCAAAAAGGACTCCAGGGTTCCTTAAAGTAGTACCTGAGGCCACAGCAATGCCACAAGAAAAGGGAAAAAAAAATCCCCAAAACTTACCAGTGTACAAAAGACACATTGGCACTGTGTGATGGTGGTCATCTGCTCCAGAGGGAACTCTCCAAGGCACAGCTTACATGAGACCAGAGGGTCCACGGCCAGCTCCCACGTGGGACGGTACCGCGCCGTGGTCATCTTCACCGCCACGGAGCTGAAACATCAAAAGACACAGCAGGGAAGAGAAGAGAAAGCAATTAGTTAAGCTCAATGTTTCCTGGAAGATAGTGAAACAAATACTGCTGGTGACAGAATAAATAAGAAAAAAAGAAAAAAAAAAGAGTCTGTGTAGCTTCGAATTGTTTTTTTTGTCTGTTCACTTAATAAATCCCCCGTCCAAGATTTGCTCTGACTCAATGCTCTACGAATTGTGTCCAGCGAGATTGTGCACACACAAATGGGCTCGCTGTATGCACAATGACACTAGCTCGCTGCCTAAATGGCCGTTGTCAGTTCTGTTCATTTTTATTTCAGGCCTCATGCTTTCTGGCATTAAAGAAAACACGGTTCAAAAAGCTTCTGAAGCTCCTGTAGTTATCTTCAACAGCTTTCACAGCTCCCTGTGAAATTTTCACTTGGTATGAAGTTACACTTTTTTTCCTTCACTGCGCGTCATTCCATGTCTCTTATGAGAGTCAGAAAGGGTTATTTTAGGCCATCTCGTCTCACTCTCTCTTTCTCTCTACAGCTGAGAGCAAAGAGCACCCACTCGGCTGTTTACAGGAAGTGCTCCCGCACATACACAGCATCAACACTGTCAAGCTCTCCCCGTGCTGCTTAGCAACTGGCTAAAGGAGGATTTTGAAGGTGGAGGGTGAGCTGATAGGAGGGGGAGAAACGTGGCAGAGGGAAAGAGACATGGAGAGTTCGCAGTTTGCCTTCACTGGTCGCAGTCTGCTTCAATGTGCAGCTGCCTGTTTTCAGAAGAGGGAAGCAAGTGGGACGAGATGGGTTGAAGAGTTCATATCCATGGACTCTTGTGCTGTCTAAATGTGCTAGTCAGCGATGAGAGAGACACGCATCCCATCCTCCTCCTTAACAACACATTACACATTCTAAGTAGATTGGGAAATGCAGGTCATTGCATCCACCACTGACTGACTTCATTAAGCTGTAAATTAAGCGCTAAAGTCAATCCACAGATGATGTGTGCTAGGATATTAAAATAATAAGAGTTACAATCTGCTAATGTGGCAAATATCTCTTTGTAGGATTGTGTCTGGTTTCTTCTTTTAGTTCACTGGCCACTTTATGAGGTGCTGGAAACATTCAGAGATTTTGATCCATATTGACATGATGGCATCACATAGCTGTGTTCTCCTACTGGAAGCAGCCATCAAAGAATAGGGAAGCAGTGAGGTCAGAAAGAGGTGGACATGGTCAGCAACAATACTCATCAGCAGATCGGCATTTTCTAAAATACTCAGACAAACCCATCTTGCACGACAACCATGCCATAGTTCAACAAGTCATTTAAATCACCTTTCTTCACCAACCACATGGCAGCAACCTAATGCATTTAGGCTTGTAGACATGGTAAAGACAATTTGCTAACATTCAAACCAAGCAACAGAATGGAGGTCAAATATAGAGGAACTGAACAAGTGTTCCAATTAAAGGGTGTAAGTATATTTGGATTGTTGGTACAAATGGTTCTCTTTAGATAGAATGGGTTGATAAATGATAAAGGGAATAATTTCAGTGTTTTCACTATAAATATTTCCAAACATTGTGAGACAGCCTCCTCATCCTCAAGTTAGTAGAAGTAGGAGGAAGAAGAGTCATGATTAAATGTACATTAAGATGGAAAACTGCTCATCTGAAAGTACAGGTTTAAGCAATAATACATAAAATGTGTCACTACTCTCGTTTGTGTAAACAAAAACTCAAACTCTCAAGCTGGGAAACTGTTATTAGTAATTGATGCTAATTCATTTGCTGCTTGACTGGGGGCAAATGTCTCATTTGTTACAATTGGACTGCTTTAGTTGTTCCTGTTTTGCATCTCTTTGTCGTTTTTTAAGTAGGAGGGCCAAGGAGGAAATTGCAAAGTGAGAAAAACTGAGAAGATAAATTAGAAAAATGAGATGCAGCTCATGTCTGACTCACTCAAAATGCCTGGCATCCATCCATCCATCCATCTATCCACCATCCATCACGCTCACCAGAAAGCACTGAGTGGTGAAGAAGCTCCTTTATGTAGCTGCTGAACTCATAGAAAAGCTTAAATGGCAATTTGTTATCAGGGTGTTGCCAACTCATAAAAATGACCCTCGGGGGAGTGCGTGGAGGTGTGTGCTTTGGAGGCCAAAAGGAGAAAAAAGAAAAGTCAAAAGAAACCAATTACTATATTAATGATGTCACAACTGCAAATGCAGCCAGACAATTTAGTGTAATGGTGTGTAATAGCCCTTTTTGTTAGCTTAGGAAAAAAAAAAATATATAAACATGTTAAGACAGCCTGGATCATCACCATGCAAAAATGAATAATAAAGTAAATGTGCAGGAACTTTTATAAAAACAGAAGCAGCTTAGCCACTGTTTCATTCAATCAACAAACTGCATCACTAAATATGATTTGAATACGAGTTGAACCCCACCAGCAGGAGTGGACTGACACTTCACAGGATAGATGCTTAACACTACAAAGCTAAAAGCTTTGCTGATGACTAGAATGATAAGATATTCCAGGGTGACTGAAATTAAGGGGGGGAGGGGGGGGTTTGACTCTTTGTCTAAATTACTAATTAATATACATTTACATTCCACGAGCAGGATCTCCTAATACAGTGGGTACTTTAATACTTGAACCTTTTCCTCTAATCCCAGGTTTTATATCGGCTGTGCAAACACTGACAGACTGGGTCGATATGGACAAATGAAATGGTTTTGTAAAGCCCTGACATGGCCTGAGGAAAGGGGGAGCGAGCGAGATAGAATGGCAAACGGAAAATGAGTTTTCACGAGAAAAGGTGGTGCAGTGCGATCCCTCTGCTGCATTATTAACTAGATGGTCCATTATCACTGAGAAAAACACGCGCGCGCGCGCGCGCACACACAGATACACAGGATATTCAAAGCAATGGACTACTTGGTGCTATCTTTTCAAATATAGCCTTCCTGAGTACGATAAGTCTGAAAAGGTCAGGTCAGAGAGTTAAAGATTAATAAAGTGAGACTCAGAAATCAAACATCTTTCCTGTGCAGTGTCCACCATGTGTCAGTCAACAGTCTAAAATAGCCCTCACTCACAGCTTAACCGGCTACAGCACCATACATGCCATAATGACTCCATATCCAGGAGACAAACAGACACACACACACACACACGCATTAACAATCCATTGCATAACAGGGTTGGAACAAGTCACAGAGGAGTGACTGACTTCTCCAGGGAACAACAAGTAAATGGGATTTCTTGCCGCAGTAGAAGGCATATGATGCCACCCATTAAAGTTTTTTTTCCACCTACATCATGTTATGTAAAGCAAAGGTCAGCCACAGTACACAAACCCAAGCACAGTCAAACAAACACACACAAGCCATGCAAGTAACAGCAGAACCTTAACCAAAAAGCATACTGCCCGAAGCCTCACATCACAAGCTGACCTCGCTTCAACGATTTCAAGGTTTTCATGGTACATATGAGGACTATGATACAAGACCAGACACAGACTCACTCATCACCAGCATATAAACATTATGCCTCTTTATTATTGGGGAATTCATGTATATCGTCTTACAGATAAACCTGTTGAACTGCTTGTTAACACAAATATCACCAGAACTCAATCCAATGGAGCAGCTTGGAAACAGCAAATCTGCAGCAGTTGGGCGATGCCATCATCACCATGACAGGTGGGTACAAATATGGAGAGCATAAAGAGCAACGGTGAATAACTACATGTCAACATGTGTTTTTAAGAGTAGCAGTACTCTGAATTCCTTTCTTGGAAATGTTTGTACAAATCCGCAACAGTTACAGTGTTTTTCCAGTCAAAGTCCTCCTGAATTGTGAACATTGCTTTCTTTCTACTTACTTATTAAAACCAAACAACCTACTTTAATGCATCAGAAAGTGTGTCATTTATGAGTAAACAATTACAAATGAGTCTACTTAAAAAAATAAAAAAATAAAAAAGCTAGACCGATATTAATACACTGCTCCCAGTGTTATCTTCTGATCAGAGTGTGCATTCATATAAATGCTGCTTCCTAGCTTGTAAAGAAAATCCTAAAATGCTAATTCTCACCTGAACCCCCTCAGAGAGACTTTAGAAGTGAGAGCACATTTTCACATGCTTCAAAAAGCAGCCTCACGCTGAATAACAATGCAAGCCTTTACATTCACTAGGAATCAGCCTCAAATAACAGGTTATAATGCACCAGTGTGTACGATCTGTACTGTGTCATTTGCTTTGATGCAGATGGGCAAGCACGGAAAGAATCAGTATTTCAGCTCTTTGTTTTCAACTGAGCACAGTTTCACGTTGCATCCTATCTGAAATTAAAAGAAAGACAGCAACCATCAGCTGCTTTGCAAGTTTGAGCAACCCAATTTTTTCTTTTTCTTCTCACACATGTGGACACGCACAAAAATGTCTTTCGCCTGATTCAGAAAGAAACTGCTCTCACCCAATGAGACGAGCCAGAGACAGTGTGATGAAGGACACGCAGTAAATACCGAATTGTGTTCAGCTGCAGTAAACAGCTCATATTGTCCTACGTAAATTATGAGAACGGCCCAGTGCAGTAGATGCTCGCCTGTGTGATTATTTGCCACAGCCAAATGAATATTGTTAGAGGAATGATATAACACCAGCTGTCACGAACAGTTTTCGTTCTGACTTGCTTTATCGGTGAAAACAGATCTTTCTCAACTTTTCTGAGCAACATTTCTGTCTGGCACACAGCTACAATCATTTCCTTGTCGTCTCATTGGACTCGGTCCTTTAATTGCATTTCGCTGGAATGCATCACTCTTCACAGAAGCATGATTCATTGCAACTCAAGAATCCATGCGCAGACAACTAGTTATTGAATCTTCTGAAATTTCGATACAGTTAACTGGAATTTGTTTATTTTTAAAGAATTATTAGCAAAAAGTAAAAGAAAAAAAATACTCCTGGCTGAGCTGTGTGCACACTGATCGTC